GACAGGCCCTGCCCAGCTGCACTGCTGCCTTCACACCCAAGACAGAATCATCATTCCAAAACCCACAAAATGCAGAATTCTCAGTAGTCTTTTTTTTTTTTTTCAAATCCAGGTCCAATGTAGGTTTGCACATTGCATCTAGTTTTTTTTTTTTTGTTTTTTTTTGTTTTTTTTTTAAGATTTCTTTTATATTTGAAGGGTGGAGTTACAGAGGAAGAGGAGAGAGACAGAGAGGTCTTCCACCCGCTGGTTCACTCCCCAATTGGCCACAATGGCTGGAGCTGTGCTGATCTGAAGCCAGGAGACAGGAGCTTCTTTTGGGTCTCCCATGCGGGTGCAGGGGCCCAAGGACTTGGGACATGACATCCTCCAGTGCTTTCTCAGGCCATAGCAGAGAGCTGGATTGGAAGTAGAGCAGCCAGGACTCGAACCGGCACTTGTATGGGATGCAGGTGGCAGCTTTACCCTCTACGCCACAGCACTGGCCTGGCATCTAGTTGTTGTGTGTCTTGGTTCCATCTCATCTAGAAAATCCCCCAGCATGGCTGGTTTAAAAGAAGAACACCACCCCCCACCCCACCCCTGCCATGAAGCTCATGTCCCAGCATCTGTGTATGTGACCTTATTTGCAAAAAAAGTGTTTGACGGATGAGAACAAGGTAAGGATCTGAAGATGAGATCATCCCAGGGACCAGGTGGACCCTAGATCCTAAGATGGGGTGGAGGGGAAGCCTGCACGAAGCGAGTCAGCCTGGCAGGAGGTGGCCACAAGCCAAGAGCACTGGGAGCCGGCACAAGCTGAAAGAAGCAAGGCAGGTGTGGAGGGCAGCCCCTCCCCCAGCTGCACCCAGAAATGCAAATCAGCTACCTGGGAAACCCTCTTGGACCACAGGAAAATCACCCTGAATGTGGCAGCAACAAGCAGAATGCTTGGATTGTAGTCCATATTGTGACGGGCAGCTTCTAGGGTCATGCCTGTTGCTTGCTTACAGGGATGTGGTAGCTGTCACTCTAATCATGAAGGGACTGCCAGTACATGCACACACACCCCCACCCCCCACCACCCCTCTGTGGTGCTGGTTTATTTCTATTTCCTTTAGAGTGATGTTTTTGGTTATGAGCAAGGTTGAGGAATTTCTTGTTTATGAATCTTCCAAAGAAGACTTATTTAGGAAATAGGGACTTTTATTTACTTTATTTATTCGATTTATTTTATTTATTTGAAAGAGTTAGAGAAAGGTAGAGACAGAGAGAGGTCTTCCATCTGCTGGTTCACTCCCCAGATAGCCAGAACAGCTGGAGCTGAACCGACCCAAAGCCAAGAGCTTCTTCCCAGTCTCCCATGTGGGTTCAGGGGCCCATGCACTTGGGCCATCTTCTATTGCTTTCCTAGGCCACTGCAGAGAGCTGGATAGGAAGTGGAGTGCCCACATGGGACGCTGGCACTTCAGGCCAGGGTGTTACACCCGCTGCACCACAATGCCGGCCCCCATATTAGTGTTTATAGTAGTGTTCTTTAAACTGTTGTCTGGATTTGCAATTTTTCAAGACAAAATAAGGGAGCAGGTGCAGTGGCATAGTGGGTAAAGCTGCTTCCCAGGATCTCCATGAACAGGAAGCTGGGGCCAGAAGAGCTAAAAATGGAACACAGACATTCCAATGCAGAACACTGGCCGCCTCTTAACCCGCAGGCTAAACACTTTGCTTGGGGTCTTCTGTTGTCGAGGTTAAGCACTCACCCAGCCTGGATGTATTGAGACTGCAGACATGTCGTTCTGACGAATGACCACAAGGTGGCAGCAAGACATCTCTATTTTACTGTCTACCGGCGAGAGTTTTTTTTTTTTTTTTTTTTCCAGGTGCCTCACTAGTTGACCGGGCCACATTATCAGTGGGGACCCTGCAGCCAGAAAAACGTGGGGCGGGCAGGATCCCTGTTGGCAGAGGCCCCCTGGGGCCCTGCAGGCCCATAGGACAGCATACCCAGCACCCCTAGGACTGTGGGGGCCTCCCCAACTAGCATGCCCCCTCCCCGAGAGGGAGCCACCCACAGCCTCCTATGCATCCTGGTACAAGCCACTGATGGGCGGGGAGGGGGCCACGGGAGCCATGGCACAGCACTGAATTCCACATCCAGGACAAAGAGGGAGTTAGGTGCAGTTAGCCAGGACTTGGAGTGACCAACTCCAAGGGGAGGCACCTGGGAAGGCAAAGGGCTCCTGGAGGGACCACTGGGTTTTCCCCAGGGTGTGGAGTGGAGGGGCAGGAAGACCCCCCTGACACTTAGTTACAGGTGGCTAGGAATGTGTCCCAGTGTCCTTTGTTACATGGGGTGACAAAGGCCATCAACCTTGTTGAGCACCCACTACAAGCATCATGCTAGAAAAGTATCATTGTTTCTACCTTAAAAATAAAAGATGGATTTCCATCCGCTGGCTCAGCCCCCAGTGGCTGCAATGGCTAAGGCTTGGGCCAGGCTGGAGCCAGGAGCCTGGAGCTCCATTCAGGTCTCCCAGCTGGGCAGAAGGGGCCCAAGCACCCAGGTCATCTTTCGCTGCTTTCCCAGGTGCATTGGCAGGGGGCTGGATTAGAAGAAGAGCAGCCAGGACCTGAGCTGGTGTGCCCATATGGGATGTCAGCACAGCAGGCAGCAGCTTCACCCGCTGCAGCACAGCGCCAGCGCCAATTTTCTCTACTTTGCTGATGAAATTCCTGAAGCTCAGAGGAGACAAGCAACTTGCCCAGGGTCACACAGCATGGTGATGATGACCAGGCTGGGGACCTGACTCTTCTCCTAGGATCCTTCCACAGACTGCACTGTAGCCTCAGCTGCACATGCCCCTCCCCCCAACACTTTCCAAACCTTCATAAACACCTGCGCTGCAAAATCACAAATCCACCTGCTGGCTGCAAACACCGTCCTTGACTCCCAGGGGGCGCACTTTCCATTCTTTTGCATTGCGCCTTCCCCTGGGAGACCAGCTAGGGCCCTCATTACTCTCCCAGTGCACCCCATTCTTCTCGCCTGCTTGGAGCCCGCGGTCCCTCACCTCCACTGCATGCTCACCTTCCTTGCAAACCCTGGGACACACCCAGCTGTTTTTTTGTTGTTGTTGTTGTTGGCCACCCCTTTGCTCAAGCGGGCAGGGAAGCCAGGGCGGGGCTGAGCATCCTGGCTGATGCTCACCCACAGGCCCAGGTGCCTCATACACTGCTCCTCCATCTCAGCGCTGTAAGGCAGGCTTTACCTCCACTTATGGATAAAGAAAATGGGGGCGAGCCGGGACGGCCCAAAGGACAGCTCAGGGATGCCCAAAGACACCTCCCCCCCACTGCACCCAGGGGCTCACAGCATCTCCCCGGAGATGAACAAGGATCACAGGAAGAATACACCAAGCATTTGCATGTGTGCATTCATTTCAGCCTCATAACTACACTAACAGGTGGAAGCCCCGGTCACTCCCACTTTCCCGAGGGACGTAAGATGGAGAGTGATGGGGGTCAGGCAGGAGGGGTGCGGCTGGGAGCCAGAGCCCAGCTCTCTTCATCGTGGCTCTAGCTGAGCCTGGATCCTTCTGGGCAAAGACAGGATGCTCCTCTGCTCCGAAGCTCCTACCTAGACCCCTGGCCTGTCTCCACAGCTCCCGGAGGGCCTCTGGTCCCTTCTGCCCCCGGAGAGCAAGCTGGGGGCTTCAGCAACAGAGGGGACATGAGCTCCATCTGGGACTCCCCAGGCCCCAGCATCCTCTGCTCCCACTGCCCCCACTCCCAGCCTGAGCTGGTCCTGCCAGGCCTGGCCTGCCCCTCCCCATGCAGCTCAGGCTCCTGCTGTGTTGCTGCAGGGAGGAGCTCAGAGCCCAGGGCTGGGGCAGAAGTCACCCTGGCTTCCCAAGCTCCCCTCACCGCCCTGCACCCCACTCCTAGGGGCTGGGCAGACAGACCAAGGTTCCTCCATCCTGTCCCATCTCCCACCCGCCCTCTTCCCATCCTCCTGGTAACCAAACCACACCCACGAAGGAGGACCAGGCGGCTGTGCAGGGAGAGACTAATGGCCCGGGAGGAGGGAGGGGCCTGGAGAGATGGCGGAGGTGGGGATGGGAGCCAGCGGGCGTTGGCCTGGGACCATCTCAGAGGACACACAAAGGAGCGGGGAGGAGAGCGGGGAGTCCCTCTCTGCTGCAATACGGAGCAGCAGGCCAGCGAGCCTGGTGAGCCCCAACCCAGGCCTCAGCACCCGACTCCCGCCGACCCTCCTCCGAACTGCTCTGTCTGCCCCGGGGGCGGGGGTGGGGGTGGGGGTGGGGGTGGGGGGACAGCCCACGCCTGCATTCTGGAAGCTGTTGACGATGCCAAGGCCAGACATCAGCCTTCCGGCTCTCTCTGGGGTGGGGGAGGGCACGCAGGGGTGCGTGTGTGCATGTGTGCGTGCGTGTGTGGTGGGTTTGCACGCTGCCGGGAATCCAGACTGCAAATCTTTCCCAGCCCTCGCGGCCTCTTGCAGACACTGGTGATGGGCGGCTTCTCCTTCACCATCTCTTCCGCACCCGGCCCCGCCCACCCCGGGCACCTGCACCTCCCCACCACTGGAAGCCCGTTCCTGTCAGCCTGCCCATCTCTCTCACAGCCTTGGCAGCCCCCTGAGCCCCCTCCCCTTCGACTCCAGGAATCGCCCTGGTTCCAGGAAGGTCCGTGACTGCGCAGCAGTTGGGCGGTGGGGTGGGTGGGTGAGGGAGACCCTGGCAAACCCCACAGCGCCCCCCGCAGGCTCCCTAGGGCCAGCCGCGGGCTCCGCCCAGACCCTCCAGTGTGAGCCAGAGCTGGCCCAGTTACCCAGCCCAGCCCCTAGGATGCGCCCACCCGGCTGGGGCCTGCAGTGGGCCCAGGTTTGGGGGCTGTGTCTTTAAGGCTGAAACCCCAGCAGGCAAATTCTGCCAAGCCAAGTGTGTGGGGGAGGGGGCTGGTCAGTCCATTAGCGGCAGAGCAGGCCCAGCCGCCAGCCAGCGCTTACAGGGCTCTGGGGAGTAGGGAGAGTGCAACCCCCCAGCCTCTGCCCGCCTGTCCCCCACTTCTCCCGCTGGGGTGAAAGAGGGGATGAGACGAGCGCCGGGAAGCACCAGTTCAGGGGCCCAGGTCAGGTCCACTGTCCCTCACCTCGCTCGGACCTACACCTGTACCACAAGCTGCCCTTTAACCTCAGGGGATTTTTAGGGGACCCCAGCTCAGCCCAAGCTCCAGCTTCAGGTGCTTGCTTGGGAAGACGCCGCCTCCCCCCACCCACCCACCTCTGCTTAGCTCCCAGCCCGCAACAGGGGGGATCAGCAGGCCCGGCGCCAGCAGCGGGCAGGGAGGGCGCGGCGCTGGAGCCGCTCCGCAGGGTGGGGCACCCCCTCCCCACACAGCCCCGCTCCGGGGCGGCCATCAGGCCAGGGGGAGGAGCTGCCCGTGCCACCCCCCGCCCTGGCTGCAGGGCTATAAAGCCGCCTGGCCACCGCCCGCGGCTCCCCGCAGCCCCCAGCTTCTCCCGGAGAGCGGTGAACCGCTCAGCCTCAGCCGTCATGAGCCACCACCCGTCGGGCCTCCGGGCCAGCATCAGCTCCACTTCGTACCGCCGCGCCTTCGGGCCGCCGCCCTCTCTGTCCCCTGGGGCCTACTCCTACTCCAGCTCTCGCTTCTCCGGCAGCCGCCTGCTGGGTTCGGCGTCCCCGAGCTCCTCGGTGCGCCTGGGCAGCTTTCGGGGACCCCGGGCAGGCGCGGGCGCCCTCCTGCGCCTGCCCTCCGAGCGTCTCGACTTCTCCATGGCTGAGGCGCTCAACCAGGAGTTCCTGGCCACGCGCAGCAACGAGAAGCAAGAGCTGCAGGAGCTCAACGACCGCTTCGCCAACTTCATCGAGAAGGTGCGCTTCCTGGAGCAGCAGAACGCGGCCCTGCGCGGGGAGCTGAGCCAGGCCCGAGGCCAGGAGCCCGCGCGCGCCGACCAGCTGTGCCAGCAGGAGCTGCGGGAGCTGCGGCGGGAGCTGGAGCTGCTGGGCCGCGAGCGCGACCGGGTGCAGGTGGAGCGCGACGCGCTGGCGGAGGACCTGGCGGCGCTCAAGCAGAGGTCAGGGGGCACCGTCGGGGCGGCCGCCCCTCCCACGCTCCCCCCCAAGGGTGTGGCTCCCCGCCAGGCCCGATGGGTGCAGGCAGCATCCTCACCCGCGGACCCCAGGCCTCCCTACCCACCCCTCCTTGCTCTGTGTGTCCCAGGAACAGGAGGACCGGGTATCTGGGCCTCCCCCTGTGGTTCGAGGGGTTCGCTTCTCAGGGGGCGGCTCCATCAGGCAGGCAGTCCTTGTCCAATCCTGGAAGCAGCAAGTGCCCTTCATCCTGCTCCCCACCCCCCCGGGGGGGAGGCACCGTCGGGGGGTGCAGCTGAGAGGTGCCCCCCAACTCAGCCACTGCCCCTCCTCCCCGGCAGGTTGGAGGAGGAAACGCGCAAGCGAGAGGACGCTGAGCACAACCTTGTGCTCTTCCGCAAGGTGGGCCCGGACCCCGGCTTTACGCAGGGTGGCAGCGCTGGGCGCGGGAGGGTGGGGCACCAGACGTTTCCCCCGAAAGCGGACAGGCAAGGCCGGGCCCTTCCTCGGCCTTAGGAGCCCCTCCCTTCTCTTGAATCCCCCACTGGCATCCCACGAAGGACGTGGACGACGCCACCCTGTCCCGCCTGGAACTAGAGCGCAAGATTGAGTCTCTGATGGATGAGATCGAGTTCCTTAAGAAGCTGCACGAGGAGGTGGGTCGGGGGGAGGGGTGCTGCGTCGTGGTTTCGAGGAGCTGAGGGTGGAAGGGAGGAATTGGACCGCTGAGACGCCACTGAACCCCCTCTACAGGTGGGTGGACTCACACCCCTGCGCCACCTGCTGGCGGGTCGCAGAGCTGCGCCTCAGAGGCAGACCTGGGGTTTAGCAGCTGCTGGGGCGCGGGCCGCCCGGCAACACGCGCGCCGCCGCACCCCTTGGCGCCCCCTTCTGTGGACCCATGCGTTTCTTCTCCTTTTTGCGCGCACACTGCGGGGTCCGTGGGCAATCTGCGCCTTGAGCTCATCCTCTGCTTGCTCGCTCTGGGCTGCAGGAGCTGCGAGACCTGCAGGTGAGCGTGGAGAGCCAGCAGGTGCAGCAGGTGGAGATGGAGGCGACGGTGAAGCCGGAGCTGACTGCGGCGCTGAGGGATATACGCGTGCAGTATGAGACCATCGCGGCGAAGAACCTGCAGGAGGCGGAGGAGTGGTACAAGTCCAAGGTGCGAGGACTAGGGGTGGGGAAGTACTGGAGGGGAGGGGCGCGCGCCAGCCCTCGGAAGTCGCGCTCACCACCACCACCACCCTCGCCTCGCTGCAGTACGCGGACTTGTCCGACGCCGCCAACCGCAACCACGAGGCCCTGCGCCAGGCCAAGCAGGAGATGAACGAATCCCGACGCCAGATCCAGAGCCTGACGTGCGAGGTGGACGGGCTGCGCGGCACGGTGAGTCCCGCGCTGCGCGCCGCGGGCCGGGGAGCCGGCCCGGCGCGCCCAGACCAAGCACGGCCGCCCTGCTCTTCCCCCCCACCCCCACCTCTCCATCCCCCGAGCAGAACGAGGCGCTGCTCAGGCAGCTGCGGGAGTTGGAGGAGCAGTTCGCCCTGGAGGCGGGCGGGTACCAGGCGGGCGCTGCGCGGCTCGAGGAGGAGCTGCGGCAGCTCAAGGAGGAGATGGCGCGACACCTGCGAGAGTACCAGGAGCTGCTCAACGTCAAGATGGCCCTGGACATCGAGATCGCCACCTACCGGAAGCTGCTGGAGGGCGAGGAGAGCCGGTGAGGGCTGGGCTGCGGGACGGGGACGGGGGCGGGGGCGGGGGGGGCGGGCGCCGAGCGCAGAGCTGACCGCGTGCTTCGCCCGCAGGATCGCCGTGCCCATCCACTCCTTTGCCTCCTTGAACATTAAGACGACGGGTGAGTCCTCCGCGCCCAGCCGCTTGGCTCCCGCTCTTCTCCTCCCGCCCTCACGGGTGGGAGTGGGGGCGTGGAAGGGGAGCAAGCCCAAGCCTATATGCCCCTTTTGCTGTTTACCCCAGTGCCTGAAGCGGAGCCTCCCCAGGACAGCCACAGCCGCAAGATGGTTCTGATTAGAACCATCGAGACCCGGGATGGGGAGGTGAGAGGCCCCCGTGCGTGGCTCCGGCTGGCGGTGAAGGAGGGTTATCCGGGACTTCAGCTGGTTTTGCCAAAGAGGGGGGCCCTGTGCTCCGAGGCAATGGAAGAGGGGTGGCGCTGAGTGGCCTGCACCCCCTCTTCTGTCTTGCCCGCAGCAGGTGGTGACCGAGTCCCAGAAGGAGCAGCACAGTGAGCTGGACAAGTCTTCCACTCACACCTACTGAACCCTACCTCACCCCAGATGCAGCTCCCAGCCCCTGCCCTGAGCCTGCTGTCAGCCCCCCCACACCCCGCCAGCCCTGAATCAGTCTCTCATCTGAATGAGTCTCATAGTGGCATCCATCACCCCGCCCCTCACCCTGTGGCCACACCTTGCCCTGACACATAGCTGTGACCCATGTAAGCGCACTCCCTAGGAAGAAGCTCATGACCCCACCCCCCAAACCCCCAGGAACGAGCCTGCTCCAGCCACGACCCCACATAAGGAGGATGGGCCAGGATCTGAATTTCACTGCAGAGTCCAATAAAACTGCGGTCGAGAGAAACCTGTCAGTGCATTTGTCTGTGGAGCTGGGGCTGGGGCTGGGGTGGGGCGGGGTGGCCTGCAGCATTGTCCCTTTGTCTCTAGGTCACTACCTTGACCCTCACTTCCTGGGTTTTCTCCTCCCTCTGTGCCTTCCTTCCCCTCTATCTGAAATCACCTGCTACCTTCTGGGTCCCCTACCAAGGTTGAAAAGCAACCGGCAGACATGTGGGAGGAGAATCAGGCAAATGTGAACCTGAGAAGCCAAAGGAAGAACAGCCAGACTTGTCAAAGGGTGGTGGGAGCCCAGGCTAGCTCAGTGAGGGAAGCTTTAGCACTGGGTAGGGTCAGAAGACAAAGGTGAGGGCCAGCCTGGTGCAGCAGGTTAGGTTGCACTTGAATGCTGGCATCTCTTATTGGAGCATTGGTTCAAGTCCCAGCTGCTCCACTTCTTATGCAGCTCCCTGCTAATGTGCCTGGGAGGGCAATGGAAGATGGTCCAGGCGCTTGGGTCCCTGCACCCATGTGGGAAACTCAGTTGGAGTTCCAGGCTACTGACTGGCCTGGCCCAGCCCCAGCACTTGAAGGCATTTGCAGAGTGAATCAGCAGATGAAAGAAAGATATCTCCCTCCCTCTCTCTCTCTCTCTCTCTCTCTCTGTAACTCTGCCTTTCAAACAAATAAATATTTTATAAAAATTTGGGCCCCTCCATCAAAGAAGGAGGTCCCTTTCTCTGAAGAGAGGAGAGAACTTCCACTTTGATTATGGCCTTGTCTAAATAAGATCAGAGTTTGTGAACTCAAGAGGCTTCCATAGCCTTGGCAGCTCATGACAAGAGCCTCAGGTGATTACTGATGTCATAAATAAGAGTGTCGATTATTAAATCAACAACAAGAGTCACTGTACACTTGTTCCCCATTTAGGATCTCTGTCCTTAATGTGTTGTACTATGCGAATTAATGGTAAAACTACTACTAGGGGCCAGCGCCATGGCTCACTTGGTTAATCCTCCTCCTGCGGCACCAGCATCCCCATATGGGCATTGGGGTCTAGTCCTGGTTGTTCCTCGTCTAGTCCAGCTCTCTGCTGTGGCCCGGGATGGCAGCGGAGGATGGCCCAAGTGCTTGGGCCCTGCACCCGCATGGAAGATCGGGAGGAAGAACCCGGCTCCTGGCTTCATATGGGAGCAGCACGCCAGCCGTAGCAGCCATTTGGGGGATGAACCAACGGAAGAAAGACCTTTCTCTTTGTCTCTTTCTCTTAGTAACTCTGTCAAAAAACAAACAAACAAACAAAAAAAAAAACAAAAAAACAAGCAAACAAAAAACCACAAAAACTACTGCTATTCAAACAGTACTTTATACTTTGTGTTTCTGTGTGGGTGCAAACTGTTGAAATCTTTACTTAGTATATACCAAGTTGATCTTCTGTATATGAAGATAATTGAAAATGAATCTTGGTGCAGAATGGGATGGGAGAGGGAGTGGGAGATGGGATGGTTGTGGGTGGGAGGGAGGTTATGGGGGGAAAACCATTATAATCCAAAATCGTACTTTAGAAATTTATATTTATTAAGTAAAAATTTAAAAAAAAGTTGGGCCCCTGCCACCCACATGGGATACCTGGATTGAGTCCCTAACAACAGTCTGACCCAGCCCTGGCTGTTGCAGGCATTTGGGGGAAGGAACCAGAAGATGGGAAATCACTGTCTGTCTCTTTCTTCCTGTCTCTCAAATAAATAATTCATTATACAAATGTTTTAAAATAAATACACACACACAAAAAAAAAACCAGCGGCCAACACTGTGGCATAGCAAGTAATACTAAAGTAAAGTAAAAGTAAAGCCACTGCCTGCAGTGCTGGCATCCCATATGGGTGCTGGTTTGAGTCCAGGCTGCCCCACTTCCGATCCAGCTCTCTGCTGTGGCCTGGGAAAGCAGTAGAAGATGGCCCAAGTCCTTGGGCCCCTGCACCCATGTGGGAGACCTGGAAGAAGCTCCTGGCTCCTGGCTTCGGATTGGCGTAGCTCCGGCTGTTGCTGTCATCTGGGGAGTGAACCAGTGGATAGAAGACCTCTCTCTCTGTCTCTCCTTCAGTCTCTGTGTAACTGTGACTTTCAAATAAATAAATAAATCTTAGAGAGAGAGAGAGAGAGAGAGAAGGAGAGGCAGAGAGATCTTCCATCCACTGCTTGTTCACTCCCCAGATGGCCACAATGACAGGCACTGCAGCCTGTGGTGGCTTTACCTGCCACACCACAGCACTGGCCCCAAGATAGGCTTTTTCTATCAAGTTCCTCAACATTATTTTAGCCTTGACACTTTACCCAATTCTTTTTTTTTTTTCCACAGGCAGAGTGGACAGTGAGAGAGAGAGACAGAGAGAAAGGTCTTCCTTTTGCCGTTGGTTCACCCCTCCAATGGCTGACGCGGCTGGCGCGCTGCGGCTGGCACACCGCGCTGATCCGATGGCAGGAGCCAGGTACTTATCCTGGTCTCCCATGGGGTGCAGGGCCCAAGTACTTGGGCCATCCTCCACTGCACTCCCTGGCCACAGCAGAGAGCTGGCCTGGAAGAGGGGCAACCGGGACAGAATCTGGCGCCCCGACCGGGACTAGAACCCGGTGTGCCGGCGCCGCAAGGCGGAGGATTAGCCTAGTGAGCCGCGGCGCCGGCCCGGCCTTACCCAATTCTTAAGCCACTTTCCTATTTTCAGGTACCTGTGGCAACAGGACAAAACCCACTCCCAGCTTCCATAATCTGTGAGTCAGGGCTTCCCTGTGGACCTGTTCCCAGCCTGAGGAGCAAGAATCTGCATTTCAAATTTCAAAATGTGCCGGCGCCACGGCTCACTAGGCTAATCCTCCGCCTTGTGGCGCTGGCACACTGGGTTCTAGTCCCGGTCGGGGCGCCGGATTCTGTCCCGGTTGCTCCTCTTCCAGGCCAGCTCTCTGCTGTGGCCAGGGAGTGCAGTGGAGGATGGCCCAAGTACTTGGGCCCTGCACCCCATGGGAGACCAGGATAAGCACCTGGCTCCTGCTATCGGATCAGCGTGGTGCTCTGGCCCCAACGCGCCAGCTGCGGAGGCCATTGGAGGGTGAACCAATGGCAAAAGGAAGACCTTTCTCTCTGTCTCTCTCTCTCACTGTCCACTCTGCCTGTCAAAAAAAAATTTTTTTTTTTTTTTCAAAATGTGAAAGATAAAGAGGAGGGTCGAGTGTCTGGTCCTGGGCTCCCAATTCCTGCGAATGTGCACCCTGCGAGGCAACAGTGATGGCTCCAGGGGTTGGGCCCCTGCCATTCACAAATACCTGGATTGAGTCCCTGGCTCCAGGCTATGGCTCTGGAAGGCATCTGGAGAGTAAACCATTGTAAGTTAAAGTATGTCTCATGGCAAATTCCAATTATACAACACTGTGATGGGAAACGTAGCCCCAGAGTTCTCTAAAATGCCTTCCAAATGTTTCTTCCCTTAGCTACAGACTGCCTCCTATCCAGATGAGTCTCCTTAGCAAATATTCTTTTTTTTTTTTTAAATTTATTTATTTATTTGAAAGTCAGAGTTATCATAGGAGAGGAAGGAAGAGAGAGAGAGAGAGGTTCTATCCACTGGTTCACTGGCTGTAATGGCTGGGACTCCAGGAGCCAGGAACTTTTTCCAAGTCTTCCACACTTGGGCCATCTTCTTTTTTTTATTTTTTTTTTATTTTTTGACAGGCAGAGTGGACAGTGAGAGAGAGAGAAAGGTCTTCCTTTTGCCGTTGGTTCACCCTCCAATGGCCGCCGTGGCCGGCGTGCTGCGCCCAGTGCACCGCGCTGATCCGATGGCAGGAGCCAGGTACTTATCCTGGTCTCCCATGGGGTGCAGGGCCCAAGTACTTGGGCCATCCTCCACTGTACTCCCTGGCAACAGCAGAGAGCTGGCCTGGAAGAGGGGCAACCGGGACAGAATCCGGCTCCCTGACCAGGACTAGAACCTGGTGTGCCGGCGCCGCTAGGCGGAGGATTAGCCTAGTGAGCCGCGGCGCCGGCCTTACAGACAGTGAGAGGGAAAGACAGAGAAAGGGCTTCCATCGCTGGCTGCTGGTTCACTCCCCAAATGGCTGCAATGGCTGGAGCTGGGCCAATCCAAAGCCAGGAGCCAGGAGCTTCTTCCGGGTCTCCCATGTGGGTGCAGGGGCCCAAGCACTTGGTCCATCCTCCACTGCTTTCCCAGACCATAGCAGAGAGCTGGATAGGAAGTGGAGCAGCCAGAACATGATCCGGTGTCCATATGGGATGTCGGCACAGCAGGCAGCTACACCACAGGGCCAGCCCCGACTGCATTTAAAAGTAGCCACCGAGGGGCAGGAGTTGTGGTGCAGAGGGTTAAGCTGCCATTTGAGACACTGACATCCCATAGGAGTGCCAGTTTGAGTCCTCACTGCTCTACTTTTGATCCAGCTCCCTGCTAATGCACTGGGAGAGCAACAGAAGGTGGCCCAAGTGCTTGGGTCCCTGCCACCTGCTGTGGGAGACCTGGATGGAATTCCAGGCTCCTGGCTTCAGCCTGGCCCAGCCTCAGCTCTGTTATAGCTGTTTGGGGAGTGAACCAGCAGCTGGAAGATCTCTTTCTCTCTTTCTGCCTCTCCCCATCCCCCTCAATCTGCCTTTCAAATAAATAAATAAATCTTAAGAAAATAACTGGGGTGGGGGCGTGAAGGGCGGCATTGGGCTGAGAAGCAGTGGTTGGGCTCGCAATGAGCAGACCCGGTTGAGTCAGTGCGTTTGTGTGAGCTGGAATCGAAGCTTTTCTTTCTTTTTTTTTTTTTTTTTTTGACAGGCAGAGTGGGTAGTGAGAGAGAGAGACAGAGAGAAAGGTCTTCCTTTTGCCGTTGGTTCACCCTCCAATGGCCACCGCGGCTGGCACGCTGCGGCCGGTGCACCGTGCTGATCCGAAGGCAGGAGCCAGGTGCTTCTCCTGGTCTCCCATGTGGGTACAGGGCCCAAGCACTTGGGCCATCCTCCACTGCCTTCCCGGG